TCGGTAATGTACGTATATAATACGTAAGCATTGTCATTTGGAGCTTTTGCAGATATTTAATTCTTTCCCACATCTGTTTTCTTTTACGCAGAATTTTTATGGAGACACAATGTCTTCTTCTATTATTTTCAAAAATAAATTGATGATAAAATTGCATATATTGTTCGGATGCCATTATAACCATCAAACTAATTATTTAATAATCAAAAACATTAAATGTCAGATTCGCGATTTGAATTTAGCGCTAAAACCGCAAAATACTTCAGGTCGCTTACGGTGACCTATCTTGGGTCGCTTAATAGGCCAGGCCGCGTATAGATCTCTCGGTGTAAATGGTTGGTGCCTAGACCTATTTTGGGCCGCATTATAGGTCAGGCCGCGTATAGGTCTCTCGGTGTAAACGTAGCCAATAATTTTATGTAAACTGTTAAGATATTATACGTGTACATGTGTATATTTAAATTCGCGCGCGCGTGCACACACACACACACACACACACACACACACACACACACACACACACACACACACAGGGTGTCCCAAAAAGGTCGCGACACCTAAATATCTCGGGTAATATAAGTTTTACAGAAAAGTGTTTCAGACAAAAGTTATATGGCTTAAAAATATCTATTTACTGATCCTATCAGTTTGACCTTGGGTTGCATAGCCAAGGTCAGGTCAAGGTTACATTGATTTTCTGAAATGGAACCCTATTTTTGATTCAAGAATCTAATAGCTGATGTCGAGAGCTTTTCAAAACCTTATAATGAAATATTTTTTTATAAAGTACTTTTCAAGTTATAATGCTTCAAAGTTACAGTATCGCCGGCATTAGCATTACACAAAATATTTAATTTTGGAGACTGGCCAGTCAAGGCGAGATCGGTCGGTGGTCCGTGAATCTTGACCTTCAGTTAACGCACAAACAAAAACATCCCTTACGGAAAAAACTCTTGAAAGTTGAGTGTTTACACTTTAAAAAACACTGAAAAAATGTACTCAAGGTAACACTCAATTAATGATTATTTTGGACGCTCAACTTGAGTATAACTCTCAACTTGAGTGTTATTAATGACTTGAATGTTGAGTGTTAATCTCAACTTGATAGTTAATTTAAGTGTCAGGGTGAAATCACACGGTGCGGAAAATGATTGCGGAACAAAGAATGCGTCAATTCAGCGGACTCAATAGTTGAGTGAGCACTCGCTCCCTTACGGAAAAAACTCTGAAAATTTCAGTGTTTATACTCAAATTTGAGTGTAAATCCCAAATTTTGGGAGTTTACTCTGAAATTTGTGTGTTTACACTTAAATTATGAGTGTTTATACTCAAACATTGAGTATATACACTCAAAGATTGAGCGTTTACAACGTTCACACTCAAGTTTGAGTTTACGCACTAAACATCTAAAGGT